CCTTATGAAAAACATAGAAAATTTCAGTGTAAAGGCCCAAAGCGACAATTTTTGGGGCAATTTTTAGTGACGCTCATGGGGGTTAGTGATTACGATGATTTTGGGCAGCTGACTTGAAAGGCCTGCTTACGTGTTAAGAAAAAAGGGCATGCGAGCCCTCACTTTACAATGAATTCAGGATCAGCCAAACGAAGTGAGAATTTAAGTGTAAAGCCCAAAAGCGACAATTTTGGGGGGCAATTTTCAGTAATGCGCAAAGGGGGTAGTGATTATGAGCTTCAAGACTAAAAAGGCCTGTTTAAGAAGAAAGGGCAGGCAGGCCGTCTCTTTGCAATGAATTCAGGATTGTCTAAACGGTGTGGAATTAAAGTGGTTGGCTACGATTAACGGCTCCTCACGGAAAAAGGCATGTGGACCCTCAAAGTAGAGACCGGGGCATAAGAGGAGAGAAATGTGAGTATGTGTGTGGAGTGTTGTCCTGTGTTAACAAAGAAACCATACTCACACCCACCATCTTCTTTCACACAGCTGCGCCGATAAAAGTCGGGTTCTGATCCTCCCGTGGCAGTCCAGTCTCCGGGTCCGCATCTTGAAGACAGAGAAACAAAAGTCAGTGTGAGAAAACAGCTATTGACCTTGCAACAAAAATTATGTCACACAACAGGCATGTTTATCTGTAATTATAAACCACATTCAACTTAACTGCCAACATAAAAAATCTGTGGTACAAAAAGCCACGCTGTGAACTATGGCGGACCCCACATTCCCGGGTGTACAGCGTCAACCCGGAATGACTCACTTCTGCACGTGAATGATCGCAATTTGACGAACGCAAAACTTTATATATCATTCAGACCACCTCGCAAGGTGGACAAAAATAAATCGCAACGGAACTGAAATGGAACGTTCATGTTCCCAAATAATTTGATTTATTTTTTCAGTTCGAATCGATTCGCACCAAATTTTGAATCATGAACAGGGCCTCAAACATGTTATATGTTGTATTGAATATCGCCTCGAGTTCTAATGCATCAGAGGAGAAAGAAACATGCAAGTTGTAAAGCATCATCTCACCTGTACAAACTCATCACTGTCTGGTCTGGTCTGAAGTCTGGACAGTCTTCCAGTTGTCTGTGATCACAGGCTTCTCCCAGGACAGGAACATCAGGACACACCTAACAGTAAACAGAATTATTCGTATGATGCACACAAAAAATATATCCTGGCATCACTGTATGATTGAAAACAGGTGTTTTTTTTACTAACGACAAGAAATTCATATATTTGAACTACATTGTGTTCCTTTGCTTGAATTTAGAAATAGAAATAGAATTGTCTATCAGCTTTAGACAGGAGTCAGCAGTCACCTAAGTATGCAACATTATAAGTTAAATAATTGCTTCAAAACTCAAATAGTCAAAGCAAATGATAGGGAATACAGAATTCAGATTTTCTCACCTTGTATTCGTCTGGGATCTTCAAATCACCAGGTCTGGTCTGGTCCAAACTTCTCTTGTCAGGTTCAGACAGGAGTCATCACTACTGCTTCTGTCAGCAGTCACCTAACTATACAACATTATATGTTAAGACACTTGCTTCAAATAACACTATGTAAATGGTAGGTAAAATACAGAATTCAGTTTTTCTCACCTTGTATTTATCCTGGGTCTTCAAATCACCATGTCTGGTCTGGTCCAAACTTCTCTTGTCAGGTTCAGACAGGAGTCATCACTACTGCTTCAGTCAGCAGCCACCTAACTATACAACATTATATGTTACACACTTGCTTCAAATGACACCAAGTAAATGATAGGGAATACAATACAGAATTCATATTTTCTCACCTTATATTCTTCTGGGATCTTCGATTCACCATGTCTGGTCTGGTCCAAACTTCTCTTGTCAGGTTCAGACAGGAGTCCTCACTACTGCATCAGTCAGCAGTCACGTAACTATAAAACAATATAAGTTAAGACACTTGCTTCAAATAACACTATGTAAATGGTAGGTAAAGATACAGAATTCAGTTTTTCTCACCTTGTCTCCTGGGTCTTCAAATCACCATGTCTGATCTGGTCTGGTTTAGACAGGAGTCATCACTACTGCATCAGTGAGCAGCCACCTAGCTGTACAACATTATAAGTTAGACACTTGCTTCAAATTACACCAAGTAAATTTACGAGGTAAAATACAGAATTCAGATTTTCTCACCTTATATTCATCTGGTGTCTTTAAATCACTGGTGCAATCTTCTCCTGTCAGGTTCAGACAAGAGTCATCACTACTGCTTCAGTCAGCAGTCACCTAACTATAAAACATAAGTCAAGACACTTGCTTCAAATAACACTATGTAAATGAAAGGTAAAATACAGAATTTAGTTTTTCTCACCTTGTATTTATCCTGGATCTTCAAATCACCAGGTCTGGTCTGGTCCAAACGTCTCTTGTCAGGTTCAGACAGGAGTCATCACTACTGCATTAGTCAGCAGTCACCTAACTATACAACATTATATGTTACACACTTGCTTCAAATAACACTATGTAAATGGTAGGTAAAATACAGACTTCAGTTTTTCTCACCTTGTATTTATCCTGGATCTTCAAATCACCAGGTCTGGTCTGGTCCAAACGTCTCTTGTCAGGTTCAGACAGGAGTCATCATTACTGCTTCAGTCAGCAGTCAACTAACTATAAAACATTATTTATATGTTACACACTTGCTTCAAATAACACTATGTAAATGGTAGGTAAAATACAGACTTCAGTTTTTCTCACCTTGTATTTATACGAGGTCTTCAAATCACCAGGTCTGGCCTGGTCTGGTTTAGACAGGAGTCATCACTACTGCATCAGTCAGCAGCCACCTAACTATGCAACATTATAAGTAACACTTGCTTCAAATTACACCGAGTAAATTTACGAGGTAAAATACAGAATTCAGATTTTCTCACCTTATATTTATTTGGTGTTGTCAAATTTGGTCCAATCTTCTCAAATCAGGATAGACAGGAGTCATCATTACTGCTTCAGTCAGCCATTTGTCAGCAGTCACCTAAAAATACACACATACGACATAACAAGTTACAAGCACTATACACTATGAGTAACATCAAGGAGTAACATTAAAAAGCTGTGTAAATTTCTGACAACAAAAACTGTACCTAGTGAATAGCAACAACAGAATAAAAAAATTGAATCACAACTAAAAAAAAAAACTTCACAACATAAATATGCCCAATGCATAATGCAACAAATATACGGATTGGGCAAAATTTTTGTTCGGTCATGAGCGGCAAATAAATTCCACAAATCATGGAAAGACGAACGTTGGCTAGAACACTCACTAAAACCAGAGACGTTTTATCAAGCTGTATATACAAAATCCAAATAAAACTCGGTGTACGATGTTTAAAAACTTGTTGCCCACTCTACCCTGACCACATACATGTGGATTATTTAATACAGCACGTGCTGCTACCAGTACCGACAATTTACCCGCCAACACTTGGTCGCCGAGATTCATATGATAATTAGTGGAAGTTCGCGCCAAAAATATTTGGCCTTGGCCATTACAAACAGATTCCATTTATGTATAAACTTCGGAGAAATGAACAAGGTCGCTTTTCAATGATTCGTAATGTGCAAATAACACTAGAATAAGAGGTATGATCAGCTAGACTTGTTCGATAATCCAGACTTGTTTACAAGAAGAACGTCACTCAAAGGGGTTTTTGACTAATTGAATCATGCACACGTGCACATTCCATCAGGTGTTTTGAACCACGTGGAGAAAATCAAAGTTTTTGCAAGGAGTTAAACCTCCTTTTTGTTAGCGCAATTTGTACAAATATGAACTCAAAGCGTTGCAAAATTGACAAATGAGACTACACATAGAAAAAAACACACACCACGCTTTGAAAATGTTCGAGAAAACGAGTCTTTCAAAGCACGTCTCAAATCAAGAAGTCCCTCCGCCGGAGTTACAGAACCAACATCGAATTTCTTACAAAATGTAGCTTATTGAATATGACATGTTCTTTACTAGTTGCACGAGAATAATGTCAGCCAAAAAAGTTTGTTGTTTACCTGTCCTCTCACAGCGATGTCTTCTCACAGCGAAGTCCTCTCCCAGCCACGCCGCTCACGCCCACTATCTCGCCATTTTGCCGCCTTTCTTCTCCAAAATTTACCAGGTCGGGAATTCCACCTTTTCTCCTCAGAACACCACGAGAACGGCGATGCATCAATCGCGAAAACTTCCACCGTTCTACCGCACAGGTCAGGAAGACATTCTACCGGCAAAAACATGTAAAAGTGTCCGAAAAGTTGCACAAAAGTAACATCCCAGAGCATCCTCGTCGTACCAGCGCGCCATTTTGAAGGAGCCACGTCCAACACTTAAGCACTTTTACACAGGTGTCCAAAACGGCTAGGTCTAATTAACGTTACAGGTGATAGTTGTTAATCTAATTACGAAGACAACTTCCTTAATTAAAACACCATTCCTGTTACCAGAATTTGTTTTTAATTTAGTCAACAAGTTTGTAACATTTACCCCATATACCACAATTTTCTTTCCCGAGAATACATCAGTCAGTAAAAGTTCTTGGCTCCTTGAGTAAACAGAATCATCGCACGTGTCAATGGGGACCTCTAGCGAGCCAAGTTGTTTTTGCACCCTGCTAGGCGCCGGTTTTCCTGCAATGATGACTTCAGCCGTTTGGCGGCGCTTTCTTTGGACCGTAGGTACTGACACAGCATAGGCTTGATTGTGTTGAAACCACCTTTAAAATTTCTTAAAATTTCGAATTTTAAAGCTCCTTGCTTGAGACACTTGTGAATGGGTTTAATACGATAAAATGCTTAAATATTTATGCGTGTTCTACAAATGTACTAAAAAGTTTGATCACACTGATTGGTCAACAAGATCCTATCATTTTACCACCATGACAAATGGAACACATGTACCAGAAACATACTTTTGAATACAAAATTGGTTTATTTACAAAAACCTATAAATGAGGATTCTTGTAGAACAGTAAACGATATTGTAAACATATCTCCATATAGAGCAGTCTTAAAACAGTAACGTATCAAACTTCCATGGAGAACAACAAAACAAAACTTGTTCCGCCGACTTTGCACAATCCAATCTCTCCAAGTGTTGATATGGAAACACATGTCATCCTACATGGGAAGACTTACATTTACAATAGCACCCATCTCAACATGTTGGTACAAACATAACTTAAATCTTAGTGGACGGTATACTGTTCCAGCATTTTAACGGCTACTGTATTATACAGCAGACAAGTTAGCCTGGTGTTCAGTATTTCACGCTTTGGGCAGGCTCCCTTCAAGAGTGTAGACGCTCTCAACTGCCTGGTAGGTTTTGTACGACGGGTTCAACTAGCCAACCACGATGCATGTACATTGTAAAATCAAATCCTGCCATGCGAAACTCCTACAGGGCTTTTTGTATGCATTTCATGAAACTTTTGCCTGCATGTAATGCTTGTTATGTGTGAAGCACAGCATTGGCTGCATTGGCTGCCTAGTGCTCCAAGTGTCTTGCCCTTGCAAGTTAAATAAAGAAAGAGGGAAAGAAAGAAAGAAAGAATGAAAGTAAGAAACGGCATAAAACTCCTACCTGGGGGCCTAGTTGAACTGGGCAGCTGGGAATGTATACAGGCACGAAGGGAGCCTGCCCAAACTACAATAGACTGAACACCAGGCTACTGACAAGTCAACTCCACTCTTGTCCTGAGCACAAATCTGTCCTAGTTAGCAGGAAGACGTTTTGGAATGTTGTGTGCAATGTCAAGTCCTTCAACTGGTAACTAACTGCACATTGTACTCAGATTAAGCAGACTTTTTCAGAGTGTACGGCTTGTGCTCCATACCAGTAAGCACATTGTTGTAGCCACTAAATAAGTACATTAAGAACATATCTTTAAATAAAAATGGTTAGAGGGATGTTTTGCTAGGAAACAAAAGAAAAATGGATCCTTGCCACAAAACCATAACAAAAACAGTGTCATACATCCCTATATGAAGTCTTACTACATGTACTAGTAGTGACAAGGATAGAAGGTTCAAGCCAACATCATATAACTACAGTTATAAACAAAATATGAACATGACCTATTGGACCCCATTTTTCCACAAAATCTCTGGCCACACCTGAGCTTTCTCCCTTGACTTTAAGTGTGCAATCTGTCTTTCAACATCTAGTATAAAATAGCATATCTTTTGTAAATAGCTGTAGCACACATACATATTATTGTCTAGGGTTTCATGATTAAGTTGTTGACGAGACAGGGTTTTGAAAGCTCCAACTTACCGATGTTTAGACATACATTGTTGAACAATATGCACATCTAGTATAATATCATGTCAACTGTGTTCAACATGCTTCAAAGTGTATCCTTAACCATCATGAGATGTTTTGTAACCACAGACTGTATAATTTTTCAGAGTTGTAAAATTCTCCATAAAACTTGTTTTTTTTTATATTTGACTACTCTGAGTTTGTAAAACACAAATTGTAGAATCTGTTAACAAGTAAGACTTTTTTTATTCACAAACTCAGAAGCCCCAATTTTTTTTTTTGAAAAAAAGTTTTGTTGACTTACGTGACTTTCTTTTCAGACTGTTGCAATAGCACTGGACATGTTCTCTGTTTTATACATGGCTAGTTGAGACATTTGAGTGCAACATGGACATTCATTGAAACAACAAGGGCTTACTAACATGACCCTCAAAGTCTTGAGTATGTTACACATAGCTTATTGTTTCACAACATATTACATGAGACAGACGACATAATAGTATCTATGTGAGAAGTTCTTGGCAAGAACACCTAAAGTCACCAGTTTCCACCTTAGTCATCAGTGCTTGGCAGCCAAAATGCCTGAGAAAAAAAAAAGAAGAGTTTTAAAGAACTATTGTATTGATCAGTTAGCAGTACACAACTTCTTCCTATTAATCAGTATTATCAGTCGAGTTGTTGGAGTTGCTGAGTGTTGATTAGTGACCTAGTAATCCACCCTTCATCATGTATCTTTGTTCAGTTTTCCAACAGACATGACTACTATATTCAACAAGAAATCTGAGCTTCCCAAACTCTGGGAATATATAATGCAAAATGAAATCTATGTGGTAACGAAGGTTGAACAAAGGACTAAATAATAGGTCCTTAATTTTCATTTGTTCACATCTTCTTTTCCTTTGGAATTGATCTTGGCATTCTACGATATTAGTATCCTTTTCAAACATTTTTTTGTAATTTATGGCAAATATTTGCTCATTTTACAGCTGCAATGGTATGGTTGAAAACTGTCTTTGAGAAACAGACGAAAATCAAATCAACATGGTCTAATGTGCATGACATGGAACCCTAAAAAATACATACCATGTTAGTGCATGCACTTCCCATCATCATGAACTTGGGGTTGAACTGCACACACTGCACCGGCCCCGGGTGTTTGGCGTCCAGAACCACAGTCTTACTGCCGTTCTCATTGTTCCACACATGGATCTTACCATCCTGGGAACCTGGAACACCAAAAAACAACATGTAGAAACACGATGGTAGTAAACCATAATAGGACACGACAACATAACTTACGGTAAAAGGCAGTCCAATAGCCTTTTTCAGGAGTATCTGTGTGACCATTTCACCAATCACCATTTTTCCAACTGACTTCTGCACAACTGTACGACACAACTCAAATAGAGAAATGCTCGGAAACTCTAAGCGTATCGGCCCCTGCTCTTGGTGGACTGTTGTCAACAGAGGTGACATCATTTTGGTGGGGACATGTGGTGTAAATATTGGAATCAGAAGAAGTATTGCTGGGCCCGTGGACAATAGAACCCAGCAGAATCTAGCAGGGCAGAACAACAAAAGACAGCCGCTGGTGCTTATTGCATGCACTCTATTCTCTCTTTTTGAGTCAGATAACCACAGGAATGAGCACAATACTCACCAACAATGGTGTATCTAGAATCTGGTGTAAATGATGCCTCAATAGAGAGACCCTTCAGGTTGGTATGGCCCTGAAAAATATGGAAAGAGAGGTTATCATATTTTTGTGTACTAACTAAGCTAAGTCAACCAGCAGGGGATTTCAAAAACATACCCCCAGACCCAAAAGGATGGTTGCATTGTGCCATGTTGAGTTTAAAAAAATTGAGATGGAGAGAAGAAATTCAAGATGGCTAGAACACTGCAATACTGTATTCACCCACTGATTTGCTACTTAAGTCCTCACCATGAACTGCTGCAGGGGTGTGCCGCTGAAGGCATCGATGAGGCGGATGACTGTCCCGTTGGTGGAGATGAGGATGAGCTTCCCATCATTACTGAACTTCAGGCCTGTCCAGTCACAGTCTTTGTCCTGCTGCAGCCGGAATGTGGTGAAGGGACCCTATGGAATGGGGAAGGAGGACGTGTTATCATTGGGTATGAAGTATGAAGATGAAGCATTTACAAAATGCCCCTATCACACATATATGACGAATATGGCCTCCCAAACACTGCTGAAGTCCCTTCAACCATGGTTAGGAATAGGTCAGGAGCAAGGCTGGATACTGTTCAGCTGCACCAGCCAGATGTTTGAAATATGTTTCAAACATTTGATGATGTCGAGCAGTTTGACCGTAGTTGTCTGGTGGTGTGCTGGTGTTTTAAGTTGGTCAAAAGTGTTTGGGGTGTGTTCGGGGGTCAGATTGACTCAAATTCTTATCTTGAAAGGAAGCGATGGATTGCTCATTCCTTGACAAAGACTGGAGTTGTACAGTAAAAAATTTGGTCTATTTGAGTCCAATTTTTTGTGTTGGCAATTGCAGTTCAATCTTGTTTCATACTGACTCAAATTCGATTAGATTTGTATAGAAAGGTAGGCATATCTTAAATCTGGTCAGACTGCTCCCAAACTTCAGCCAACCTTGGTTGGTTGTTTGGTGGTCAGGGGGACGTTCTGAATGTGTGACAGGGGCACACAAATGCACAAAGTACTTACTGCTTGCTCCAACTTTCCACTTTTTCAAAATTAAGGTTTCAACTACATTTTGTGCTTGACAAGCTACAAGTACGAATGGCAGCAGACAACTGTACAGTTGGAGGCTCACCTTGTCAAAGGATCGTAGATCGTATAGCTTGATCATCTCAGAGTTGATCCCCGCTGCGAAGATCAGGCCCTCGGGGTCAAAGTTACACACTGGTCTGCCAGGGACGTGCATCAAACCCTGGACAAACACATAGAGTTTAAGTATATAGAGATGTACATGGAGTGCCAGCAGTGTTTAATGTAACATAAAAGGACTTGACATGGTTTTTCTGCATACCTTCACTGGTGCAGGTAACATTGAAGATTACTTGCACTAGACAAATTTTACCTGCACTACAGTGTACCCGTGCAATTGGCAAGTGGGTAAAGTGTTTGCCTTGCATTCGGTAGGTCGTGAGTTCTACACTCTGCTGAGTCATACCAAAGAGTAAAAAATGGTACATTGTACCATGAACATAAAGTGAATTGCAGTATTTTCTGATCTGTCCTCTACATTTTTGACTAGGAAGAAGAGACGTCCTACCTGACAGTTAGGTGATCTCAGGTCCCACAGTCTGATTGTCTTGTCTAAGGAGCCTGACATGAAGGTGTCATCAATGGGAGACATGCACAGGGCCACCACTCTGCAACAAGAAAAAATTTTCCGTATGTCAGATAAAATACACATGACATCCCATGTGCTTCTCAATACATAAATACTGCTGTAAGTGTCATCCTTTTGTCTTGTAGTATCGCCAGAGAAAGGAGCAACTAAATGAGCTATATAAAGCTGTTGGTGATAGATACTGGTATATCATAGACTTACTTTTTGGTATGTCCTGGGAAATATCTGATGTACTTGTTGTCATGCAAAGACAGGTATCTGATGGTGTCTGCAAAGTGAACAAGAAATGCTTTTATTTAAAAAAAAAGTCCATCGGGGCCAAGATAGCTTGTTGCGTGGTGTGAGTGTGATGACAATACGTGACTCAAATATCTGGTCATTCTGATGACTTGAAGTGAATGTTAATGATAGAGGGTAACATTGCAATGGGGTGAGGTAAAAACAGGAGTGCTAGACAGGCCTGACGCACAGAATGGCCATAACAACGATGCAAATACAAATTACTTCTTGCAACAGCCAAAATCAAACATGAAGTTACATGATAGCATAACGCCATGGGCCACAAAAGATGAGATACTCTCAGCTGGCCTTTTTTTATCCACCTTAAATTGAAGCTCTACACAATAACAGATGGCAGCTGTCTCATACAAACTAGAATAGGAAATTTACCACGACAGGTATGCAGGTCTCGTGGTAACTATGTGACGAATAATATATAGGCTATAGCCATGAACAAGACCAACACTACATCATGGCAAGACATGTACATGTACAGATGGCTACTTCTTAACAGGTTTAGGCTGCACCACTTACCATCAATCTTGTTGGAGCTGTATATGACTGTGTTGGCTGCATGTGTGAATCTGATGAGATCCACTCCATACTTCTTACTGTACAATGTTCTCTTGGGCCTGTAGATGGACAAAAATAACAGAATAAATACTGTATACAAGAATTATAGTGTCTGTGAAAAAGACGTCTAACGTTACATGACAATGTAGTGACTGTAAAGCTAGGCATCCAAATTCCATGAATAATTTCATTAGGTTGGTGAATGATTGAATAGCCAAATTCTTTATTCACAACCACTTGTTTAACAAGAGCCGACAGTTTGATGACCGTCTGTCATTTTCGTCAGGGCAATTACTGTGCACTTTACATTTGGGACTGCGTTGTTAGTAGTAAAAATTAGCTTCAGTGCACAGTGAACCAGTCATAATTGCCCTGATTCCCCAATTTCATGACAACTTCACAGTTTTTTCTCTTGGGTAATTAATGTAAAAGTGACCATATTTGTCTCCTTTCTGTGTGAAAAGTGCTTTTTTAAAAATGATATTATTGTAATTTCTGTTACAAAATAGTTGAAACAGTTGTATTTGTGTATCTGATCAAATGGCAATGAGTTCAAAGTCATATCTTCAAACCATGATTCTGCTAAATTTTGTTATTTTTCCTTCGTTGCCTCATTTCAACTTTCCCTCCTGCAACAATGGCCTCATGGGATACATTGTCTCCTTCAATCAACCTGTCACCCCTACTCCCCAATGGTATGGCTCAAGCTATCCAATTCATATGCAAATGATCCATCTCCATCAATCTGGCATCCACTCAATTTCTAACCAACAAGGGCGATTTGGCTGAAGAAAAACTACAGAAAATGTAAGAATATGGCGCCACTGTACTACACAGTCAGTTACATGGATTTCCATCCGGCCAAAATTTCAAATTCCGTGGTAGAATTTTTCACCTATCTTCACCCTCCACGCTGCGTCGGACCTTGAAAAGCAAGCCTAATTTGCATATCAATAAACGGCCGACCGTCTTGACTTCTATCTTAACCAGCAAACACTACAGAAATAACTATCCATGCAATATTTTTCTTACCTTACCTTCTATCAAACAGATCACACTGTATAAAAGTATTAAGCATCTAAGATATGAGAAAAATAATTTCCCCACAAAGGTACCCCCCTTTAGAACATGGAAGCGTCCGTTTTTCAGGTCCGCCATGTTTGCTCTTTTTGAAAGCGCCAAGCATGCAGTGATTTTTTGTGGAATTGGAACGAATATGGCGCCGGAAACCAACCGCCCAGGCACGGAAACCTGGTGCGGACTTACGTACTTTCCCTCCTGACAGTCGTATATAACGATAGAGTCATCATCCGAGCTGGATATTAGTGTCTCTCCGCTTGGGGCGAAGTCCAAGCTGTTGATACGGTCGCTATTCTCCCTGAACACTTTCGCCACCTTAAAACTACGCAGAGTCCCATCAGTCAGCTTCATTTTGGCAACCAATTCGTGCCCTGGGTTCTTAACAGAATGTAGAGAGAGATATTTTTGTTTGGGGCAGGGTGGAAAGGTAGAGTTAGTGGAGAATTTTTCACGACGAAATTTCTTGGGGGCCGATCCTCCATTTCTTGCTGCCTAATGATCACGTGACAGGTGACGTCAACGTGGTGTAGAATACCTGGCCGCAATGCACCCTGGGTCAGAAAATGGCGTCTGCTACAGGTAACAGCTGTGGCATGGCTTCAGTTATTTGACTCATATTCGACCGTCAATGTCACTATTACTCTGACGCCAATGTTATGCTGCAGCAGAACAGTCCAGGCATCGTAGACAGCTGTTAGTTTGATTGTGGTCCTGCTGAAACAGCATTTATTTTATCCCAGAACAGGCAGGAGTTCGCAGCACGAGTTGGTCTGTAGTACTAGTAGGTTCTCGCGATTTGGTCAGTCGACAACATCATGCTTTAATATATCGGACACAGATGACAGCTGCTTCTTTCGTTGCTTATTATTCTACCAAGGGTGCGACTACTTTTCTTTTGCGAAAAATCCTACGCGATCAGTTGATTAGAAGAAGGATGGCACATGGTAGGAACGTTGACAACAACAACGTCGTGGTCCAAATGAAGACGGACGTCAGGACGATCTTCAACGCGGCCGTGGACTCCGTTCTACCGCGACAGATGGTCCACAATACCCTCAAGCTCAACGGGAACGTGCTGAACGTAGAGGACAGGTCGTACATGCTGAATCACAACGTGCACGTGGTGGGGTTCGGGAAGGCGGTGGGGGGGATGATACGTGCGGTGGAGGAGGAGGTTGGGGACCACGTCGTGGGGGGCGTGGCCAGCGTGCCGGTAGGAACCCAGGAAGCCCTCAGGACCAGGGGCAGAGAGTGAGTTTCTGAAGCTGACTTTGTAATAAACAGTTCTTAAAGGCTTCTTAAAGGTGCATTATGTAACAATTTGCCAAGAATTGAAATATTTTATTTGAAGAAATCTTCATGTGATTGTCATTAAGTGCCATTATTTCCCATTCCTGACGTTTATAGTTGTCAATAAAACAGTCAACACGAGGCCCGCTCATTTTGTTGTACCACCACAAATACCACATTGTAAACAAACTGCTGACAGCTGTGTTCCCAATGACACTCGTTTGACACCGCCATTTTCTGGATGACACTGATTTGCAATAGAGTAGGGTTGATTCAACTTTTTAATACTTTATGAAGAAGTGACCAGAAAATTTGTATCATCCCAATGTTACATAATGTTATTGTGCAGAAATGGTAGTGATGTGCAACATTTGATGTCAACAGAACGTACTGCACCTGTGCGAAACATAGCTGTAAACACTCCAAAGCTGGCTCATTAGTGTAGACCTTGGTGTAGAGAATGGTCACCAGGGTAGTCAAAAATAAAGTCCCTCGCTTCATTTTCAGAGACCTGTTGCCTCTGCCGGACAGTAAAGTGTCCCTGATGGAAGGTGCAGCAGACAACCTGCCAGACGAGGCGGCTCACACTGCCGCACAGAAGATCTCTGACCACGTCAGCAGTCTGACTGCAGGGGATCTTCTTATTGTCCTCATCTCAGGTACTGTTGCATTTCCAAAACGTGATACATTCGGAATTCCAAAACATGTTTTGAAATAACACCAAGTGGAATGTACATATATGTTTTATTCCAAAATGTGATCCCTTCCAAAACCTGAGGGTGGCAAATGTAAAAAAGCAAAGCCTGACGACAACTAAAACATGGTAAAAACCAGAGTTCCAAGATCTCATACCTCAGGCCAAATTATGTTGACCTTTATGACTGACTGACATAATTAATGCTTCTCAATTGATCAGTTAATCATACATGTATTCTTTACCAAATGGTAGTCTTATCTTAACAAAGTAGGTTATTCTACAGGGTTCAAAATGCTTTTTCTGCAAACCTGCACTGGTGCAGGTAACATTGAAATGTACTGCCCTAATTTTACGTGCACTAAGGTGCATATGCACCCAGTATTTTGAGCCCTGTTCTTGCATCTCCCCATAAATTCCACCATTTGCCTGATGTACGCTGTTTGTGTTCAGGTGGTGGTTCTGCCCTGTTGCCCGCCCCTGTCCCGTCAGTCAGCCTACAGGAGAAGCAGAGTGTGACCAGGCTGCTGGCTGCCAGGGGGGCCACCATCACAGAGCTCAACACTGTCAGGAAGAACCTGTCCACACTCAAGGGCGGCAAGTTAGCTCTGGCTGCCAAGCCTGCACAGGTACAGAACAGAAATTATCGGCAGTCATTTTGAATATTATGCATTACTGTCTGAGACATAGTTTTATGAGAGCCTGCATGGGGGGTAGTGATTACGAGTTACCCATAATTTTCACCGCCGATTACGTTAAATTCTAAGAGCTGATTATGAACAGTTACATGTTATGGCTAATGTACTGATTACGAATTACATTGTACAATGATTTTGGATGGCTGCCTAGGGATTCTGAAGACTAACAAGGCATGATTAAACCTTATGAAAAAGGGCATGCAGGCCTTCAAATATTACTTACATGCGCTAGGTTTGATTTCTCAGACTTCATGTTTTGCTCTGGTCTCTCTGTAGGTCATCAGTTTGATCCTGTCAGACATAGTCGGTGACCCCCTTGACCTGATAGCCAGCGGTCCCACCGTCCCGGACTCCTCCACGCCGCAGGACGCCATCAACGTCATCCACAAGTACGACATCCAGGACGCCATCCCCCTGTCTGTCTGGAGCTACCTCACCAGGCAGTACCAAAGGAAGAGCAGCAAAAACCAGGACTTTTCACACGTCCAGAACGTCCTAGTCGGAAGCAACAGCATCGCGGTTAGCGCCGCAAAGTTGTGTGCAGAGAAGCTGGGGTACAGGACTCTGGTCCATTCCACTTGTCTTCAGGGGGAGGCCAGCACGGTAGGCGAGATGTACGCAACCATGGCTGCACTGCTAGTTAACGTGTTTAACGACAGGGATAGGATAATTGAAAAATCGCTCTTCAACTCCCTCCTACAGAAGTACGGCGTGGATGGTTCGTGTCTGAGGTCCGTGCTACAAGTCGCCGCAGAGGCTGAGAGCCAGAAGAAGCCAGTGTGTATCATAAGCGCGGGAGAAACTACTGTGACCCTGAGGGGGGACGGGAAAGGTGGGAGAAATCAAGAGATGGCGCTTGCCACTGCTGTAGCGATGAGCAGGGACGGGAACCTCCGTTACGAGGGTCGCTCACAAGTGGTGTTCATGAGCGCGGGAACCGATGGACAGGATGGGCCCACAGATGCCGCCGGGGCATTGGCCGATCCAGGTCAGGTGACCAGGGCAGACGAACAGGGATTGGCTGCCACAGAGTTCCTGGAGAACAATGATTCATACAACTTCTACAAAAATGTCGACGGAGGACAAGGCCTGGTTACAACCGGGCTGACTGGGACCAATGTGATGGACATACAAATTCTGACAGTCTGCAGTTCCTATGATTCTAACCTTTAATGAAAGGGGGCTTCTATTGTGCTATAGTATAGATATAATAATAATACTATGTATAATGATAAATCATACATTTCTTAGTTTCCACAGGACAATGTAGTCATATAGGAAATAATTATAAGTTATGCATATGACAGTAAGTTTAAAATGAAACCAGAATGGAAACCACTCGACTACCATAACATTGTCAAATCTGCTAATAAATTAAATTAAGTGTTTATTTGATATAAATATTGACAAGTGAATTCTTAAAATTTGCTCAATGAAAGAAAATTATTAATGCTCCTTTAGTTATCCCAATTGCTTAACTACTAGTAGACACCAGGTTCCATGACATGTATTTTGATGAAGATTTTGTTGCTGCATAGTCAGTGTGAGTTTTCTTCTTTGCTTTATACAGAGGTCATGGGGCAAAACAGAGGACATTTCCTGTCAAAACACTCATTCTATTCGGTGTAAAGATACCACAGAAATAATTACATGTATAATAACCAAAGACATAAACAGTATGAGTTTCTATGGTTTAATAAATCTATAAAGAACCACTTCAAGTTTCTGTGACATATAGTGAACAATGAACATGTATTCAAAACTAGGGAAGCCAATGTTCCGCTTTTCCAAAGTGCTGTCTTACATGCCATATTCCTGCATATGTCAGGAACATTTACATTGTGTATGGTCTTTCCATGACATGATTATGACATGTTTTGTTAAGTCAGGCTTAGGAAATCTGACAGAAGAGAAGGTATCTTTTACAAATAACAATTTGCATTATATCAAGGGTGTTCTACAAAACGTCTTTGATTATATTAAGGCCATTATTTTGCTGCAAGAATTTGTGAATATTTACAAACTTTGAATCTTGGTTATGCTGGTAACTGTTGAAGAACCATGACAATGAAGTGGCTCTTTTATGTAGAAAATTAATGTGGAAGGTCATTGACATGCAAGTACATTGTATAAAAGCTGAAACAAAGATTATTGTGACCATATTATTATGAGAGCTACTTCAAAATGACTTGTCCAATAAAGGCTACTACAACTTTGAATAGTTGTAAGACATTTGATATTAAATTTATGCTATTCTGCTAAAAATGCCCTTGGAATTATCTTTGGCCCCCATTATACCCATTACAAAGAAGCCCTAACTTACCTATGTCTCCCCTCCTTGGAAAACAGGTCTCAAGTTTGCCAAATCCTTGCTAAGTTCTCCCACATTCAGAAGCTGGTTACCCCCAACCTGTTAGGAAATTCAAGCAAAAAACCTAAAAAGTGCCCAGGAACTCTGTATCCCATTGGCTAAAAACGACCGCTATAAAAACGGTCCCATTCCATACTTTACTCACCTGTTGAACAAATGCACCTGCAAAACCTTTAACTAATACATGGAACAGTCTATTTTGGAATGAGACTATGTTAGTATGTACTGAAATATGCTGTATTTGCTCCCGAGCAAATATCAGCCTTTCTAGTTGTCTATACATTCAATCTACAGTCCTGAGCTTCAACTATTGACATCAACATTTCTCTGATCAATGCAGTTAACCCAAGCCAACAATAATTTAGTACATACCTACATGTATCTATATTAAAATTTGAAATAACCAACAGCAAAAGTAGATCTCTACACTGTCAAGTAGTATTGGCTTTAACCAAAAATTGAAGACAAGTCAGCAAAAATTAGACGAATCATTGGTTACATGTCACAACTTTCTCCTGTTTTGTCACTAGTAAATGACTAAAACTTATCCAATGTTTTACTACTACTAGTATAATGTACATGGTGTCTTATATCAAATATCAATGCACACACATATTTGTTTACACCCTTGTTTATTCATAAAAAGCTCATCTATTAAAGGCAGATCCACCAAAAACAAGCTGAGGTCTTACACTTAAAGTTACAGACTGTTTAAGTCCACCAACATGCTGAAGAACAGTATCAGAAAATTTATCGGAGTATCGACAATCTACAGTACAGAACTGTCGTCACAAAACTGCAAATAAGATGCTAAAAATTACACAGCAAAAGTGGAATACATAACCACACTCGCCTTGAGCAACGAATATGTCGATACTGTGATCTAGGAAGAATTGAAGATGAGAAACATTTTGTAATGGAATGTAAACTGTACAACAAAGAGAGAGCAGAACTGTATAGTCTGATACAATCCATGTTTTCCTACTTCCTACACCCTATACAACATATTATTATTATTAAGACTAATTACAGCAAAACAAAACAAAGTTGTTTGCATCTGCTGCATGATTAGTAGTATTTACTTCTTACGAATATATTGGTTACATTTATTGGTTTATTTATATTGGTTATATAGACATGAAGCCCTACCACCAAAGATATAAAGAATCAAGATAACAAGAACTAAACAAAAAAGTCAATCCCCAGAACATTAAATTTTCTATCTGACTATCTTGTTTCGTCCTACCATGACTTAGGACACCGTGTAATATATTATATACATCATGTATAACTAAAGGAATGTTTGCAAAAGAAAGGGATTGCCTGCCGCAATAAAAGCAATAAGAAAATTAATGAAACTTGAAACTTAATTGTGATACCACTTTGCAGACTTACATCTTAATTGTGTAAGTACATGCATGTACAATTTGCCTGTTTGAGATTTTAAAAATAAGGTAGTCCCGTAGCTTTATTCAGGCCGTAGGGGCAGTGGATTTTTAATCCAGTCTCTTGGGCATGGTATTGGAAGGTGGAGCCCATCCCTCTCCTTCCACTGTCTTTTACTTCCCCAACTGAAGTCAGGTACCCATTTTACACCTGGGTGGAGTGAGGGAAGTAATGTCAAGTGCTTTTCCCAATGGGCACAAGATCAGTGACGGTAGGATTCGAACCCGGGACCTCTTGCAGTTTTGGTCCTGAGCCAAACACGCTACCACACGACCCCGTTTGATGATGATGATGATGATGACTGGTTTATTCATAAACAAATAAATAGACATACAGGTTTAAAAGTCGATGGCAGCCTAAATGGCTGAATTGTAGACTCTTTTACAATTTAAAAACTTGAGAATATTATCAATAGAGAGTTCCATACACTACATATACATAGAAAATACAATATTGAAAGTACGAAAAGCCTGTTTGGCCAGTACAACAACCAGTATGTTACAGAACTTGCGTATCGTTGAGATTATCATATGACTAAACTAAC